GGGGGGGGGGGGGAAGGAGTAAATAAGAAAAACAGCAGCAAAGTTAAAATCTCGTATAAACCCTAAGATTCCGTTCTCCATGGTGTACTGAAAGATTCAATCATCAAAAATTTAATCTTTAATCGCTTGCGATCCTTCCCACGAAAAAGACTTCGACGCTAGGATAGGAAAACAGAGATTTCATATTACACCCGAAGTAAAGACCAATGGTTCCCCTACATTTGACCGGGCAGTTTAATCTTTATTCGCTTGCGATCCTTCCCACGAAGAAGACTTCAACGCTAGGATAGGAAAACAGACATTTCATATTACACCCGAAGTTAAGACCAATGATTCTCCTACATTTGACCGGGTAGTTTAATATTTAATCGCGTGCGATCCTTCCCACGAAAAAGACTTCAACGCTAGGATAGGAAAACAGAGATTTCATATTACACCCGCAGTTAAGACCAATGATTCTCCTACATTTGACTGGGTAGGCAATAAGGATTCTTGAGAGTTGGAATAGTGGTATTCATTTGCACATATTTGATATTCAACGCATTAGTCTCAAATCAGCTGAGAAAAGCAAATGGTCAGACTGAATTGTGTGCCCACATCATGTGCCCTGTTGAATCAAATGAAATTATGTGCATAGGATTTGCGTGTTTTTTTAATTATTTTTATTTAGCAGTGGCGAGTTGCGAATAATCGACTATCGATATTTCCCCATTCGAAGCCGTGGTGAAGAGTCGATTACCAAGGCGTTCGTTGCGGACACCCTGTTTATCGAACCATTTGCATAGGTTTAAATGGCAGATCAATCGTTATATCGCAAAGCACGCCACACCACTGCTATTTAGTTGATTACAGATCATTTGCCAGCTGCTTCCTTACTAATGAAACTGATATGTGTATCTTTTTTTATCCCTCGTTTACCTCTATAGCAAAAATTTTCCGGATATATACGTGTTAACATTGACCGAAAATTCCAGTCGCTCTTTCAAATGCCGAGAATAATAGTCCAAATCATGGGGTTTTTTTTTTTTTTTTTCAATTTTTCAATTTTTTTTCTGTTGTTGTTATTGAATGTTATTATTTTTTAAAAAATTCTGCAATTATTTGAAATTGCATTTTATTTCAAGCGGGTGTCGTTCTATATTTCCTGATCGTCATTTAAATATGATCATCGGAAATATTATTGTCCACTATTGAAAATCAGAGAGAAAAAATACTGAGCTTGCATTTTTATCGGCTTGATCCTAGTTGAGATATTTTCATAGTCTATTATCATTAGGATTTAGTGGAAGGAGATTGGCATATTATGTATCTTCATCACTGTTTTGACACTTTATTCATATGATAAACGAGCTTCCATTTAGTGGCGACCTTAAAAAGCGACGAAAAAAAGAAAAATGTTCAGAATCTATCTGATGAAAATTCAAAACCTTGTCGATTTCACAAGATCAAAAACAATCTTTGGCGGTGTGATGGAACATCTTCAACATAAAATTATTTTCCTTGGTTCTTCTCTCCACGCGACATTGTTGTGGTTTGTGTAAATAAATCATCACATTCATTCACAAAATTATAGCATTGATTCTATTCACCAGCGAAACTTTGCAATGCTGCTCTCGGTTGTAATCAAACAGAAAGAGTGTCGTGCAAGGAAAAAAACCGTAAAAAACTCAACCGTTGCCAAATTTATCCTAATAATGAATTTCTGTTCTTTTTTAAATTTTTTCCCTCAATTTTTCAAAGGACTTTACTTTCATTGGAATACTAGACATGGTGCAAATTTAAGCATTACGTTACATGTTTTTTTTTTGTTTTTTTTTTTCATAAAAATGCAATGCAGAACACATTTTTTACAACACAAATGATTGAAAGTATATCCTATTCATTATATTAACGTTTTCCGATGCCTAAATTCAAACTTACTACATAGAAAAAACCCTAATTTACTTTGGTTTAATCGCATACTAAACGTTTGTGTTACCTCTACGGTATAAAATTATGACAACCGCAATCCAATCGTGATGCTTCAACTCAGGTATCGCATATCGCTTACGCTTTTAACAGCAAAAAGTAGGCTTCCTGAAACCATTAAATTGTCTAATATGATCCTGATTATTATAGTAGGCTCTTGTTTTCTAATGAGCAAGAAATCCAAATTTGTTTGGTAACGAATGCTTAAGGGCGGACCCAGCAAGTTGAGAACACTGGTTTCTCTCAGTTTTAATATGTTTTGAATAATCGATTCTGGTCTGAGCTGCTGGCCTTCCGAGAATCGATACATTTTTATAGGTTTAAATAGGAATAAAACAATGTTGCAAATTTTTAAAAGAGAACATCTACCAATGTTAAATTTAAACGTGATATTATCTTGTTAGGAGTTAATTTTAGTAATTCTTGTTAGTTTTATAATTTTTAGTGTAAAATGTTGAAGAGGGAACAGGAACATACATCATAATGCTTAAATCCGTATAACTTTTTTAATCTATCAGGCCTATTTTTTCTGACAATGTTTTAAAAAATCAATCATTTTTTAAAGATTAAGTGTTTCTAGAGGAAAAATTTTGCAACGTCCCAACGCTCTTACGACGTTCTGCCGTAGAACGGTAGAATACAAATTCCCCCGCCCCATCGTGTAGTCCGGAGAAGCCTGTAAAATTTCTGACGGGATTATGGCCCGGAGTGATATTAAAGTCTTCGGGAAAATTATCAACCGTAGATCATAAACAAGATCACAAAGCGGCCAAAAGAATGGAGAAATTTAAGCCTACCGCTGAAAAAGAACCGGTTCTCTCGGAGGAGATAAATTAATATTTGGCGTGCTTTTCCACTTCTTCGGTCCGAGAAATGATGATGGGACCCCGAGCTGGCGGAAAATATGAGAGCTAGCTGAAAAATCTGCGCATCCAATCTTGGATTCGTCATGCGTGGTAATAATACGCCGTGGGACAGTCAACTGAACTTCATTTCGCAATTAGGAACTACATTTTTGGCTCAATTCAGAAACAGCATATATGCCATTAGTTTCCCTGCGCAGGTAGGTCCTTTTATGAATGAGTTTGAAATTGCAAAATGTGGTTCAATAATTAAATGGATCAAAGAAGGGTGTGAGGACAGCTGAGTTATATTAAGAGTAATAAACAAGAGGAAACAAGCAAGAGTGTACAAGGGATCGGAAGATAAACATTAAAAGAAAGATCGTCCGCGTTTTTAGATTCTAGAAGTTAACCAAGCTCTTTATATGATCTCTCAGTGCAGATGAATCTAGTAGTTAGTTCCAAACCTATATTTCTATGAAATTTTCTTTTTGAGAGGAAGTTCTGAGCAAAAACTTAAGTTTTCAGTGAAATATGGAACACAATTTGTTTCAAAGTAAATCTTGAAATCATATGAAAATGGGCCCTGAAACAATTTTAAGCACCTATTTCTCATTATAGTTTTAGCTTTTGGTGAGCCTTCCCCCGTCCCTCCCACAAAAATGTCATCTTTTCAATTACTGAACGACGGTGTAATTTCCTTTGAAATTTGTGAATAAAATTCAAATCGCCTCCCTCGTTGCCATTTTGATAAAAAATTAAATCGAGCGTTAGCATGTTGCAATTTATGAAAGCAACCTCAAATACACAAAACTAGTACTTATGTTCGTCCGAATACCCTGATTTTCCATGAACGGAAGATAATTTTAAGAGAGGGTATGTAACATTACCCAGAACATGGAGGTGACGCCGTTTTTAATGCATTTAGTATCTAAGTACACTGCAACCGGTTGGTTTTCCGATGGGTGACTGTGTGAATCGGTATTTCTTTTCTCTCCCATAAATCGCGCGTGAAGTTGTGCAAATATCTAAGTCACCCTAATTCATCAAAAGGCTTCGAAAATGAACCTCTGATCAGAAGAGGAAAACCACATTTCCCACAAATAATGTGCTGTCAACTAGACTGCTTTGAAAATGTAGGCCGATGCGTTTTATTAGTTCCACATCACCGGAAAGAAAGTGAAGTTGATTAAAAATTCTGGATGTCAAAAAAGAGTGCGAAAACTTATAAAGTGCCGAATTATCCGCTACAGCAGTTACTTTAGCAGCGAAGATGTACAAATGACTTCTGTAGCGGTAATTCAGCATTTTATAAGTTCTCGCACACTTTTTTCACATGTAGGATGTTAAATCAACTATTAATTTTTGTTTCGGTGATCACGTGCAATTTACAGGAATGGACCACTAGACAAGATACGAATTTAAGCATTCTGATACATGTTTCTTAATCAGAATTTCACGTAGAACACGAATCGTGCAACAAAAATTACTGAAATCAACTCCTAACGATGATATTAACGTTTTTATTTTACATTGGTTAAGAGGATTTTGAACTGCCCGCTCACAGGAAACTCAAAGCTCTACGTGAGTCAAATCGCGCCCTACAACAGTTTCAGCAAGCTTCTCAATCGAGGAATGTTCATTTTCCACCATATGTTGTTCAAACAATAAATATTTGACGACATAATTTGCTACAGCTGAGCTAAAGCGTCGATATTGGGGTTGCTAGATTTTTATACCGCAGAGACTGTCATGATGACGTACAGCTCGCGATGTGAATCACGTAGAGCATTGAGTTTTCATAAGCGGGTGGTTTGAATTCACGAATTAAGAATCATTAAATATCTTCGTAAGGAGTTGATTTCAGTAATTTTCGTTTTGCACATCATATTCTATGTGAAAAGGCTAATAAACATGAATCAGAATGCTGAAATTCGTACCTTGTCTTGTGGTCCATTGTGCTCTTGCCCTAGGGAATCTATTATAATCCCTCAGGCACTTTCGCAGTAAAGACTTGATTGGAATCGATCAAAACTAAAATTTAATCTGAATTTGAATTACCTGAGCCATAATCTATACTGGTGCCTAACACTGAACTAGTGGTGATGCAAAGGACACTCTTCAATGACTGACCATCAAATCAGATTTCAGGGCGCTAATCGTCCGCGGATAATTGATTACAGATATGATTGTTTTTTTCTCGACATACGCGCGGTGAATCGGCGCGAATTTCACGCTCTTTTTTCGCCAAAATATTGACGATCGATCGGAAGCGTCTCGACCGTCTCGTTCCATATGCAGGACTCTCAGAGGCGGATCCAGAAATTTGGCAACCCCGGATTTCCTCCATTTAAACTACGACCCATCCTTCGACCAATGTCGGATTTGTACATCAAGCTGCTTCCTTTTGGTGGAAGGATTGAACGTTTCACCGAAACATGGGAAAAAATTATCGTGATTATTAACTAGGGATACCAAGTGGAACTTTGAGGAAAGGAGCAATACCAATATTGCTACGTACTTGGTTTTTTTGCTCATCAAGACTGAAATTCATAACAATGGACCTGCATTAAAACTTTTGGAAAAATATGGCACCCACATTTTCATTAAGTTTATGAGAATGATGGACTTTTGAGGGTTTTCAAAGCCAAAATTATTTCAACATCTCAGACAAAGTCCCTAACTAACGTAGTTCAGTATATGCCGTTACCGATTTGGACAGTTCGGTGCTTCCTCATGATCAAAACCGTACTTTGCGATTTATCGATTGATCCGCCATTTAAAGCGATAGAATTTGATCGATAGAGAGGGTGTTCGCAACGCCCACCTTGATAATCGATTCTTTACCACAGCTTTAAATGGGGGAATATCGATAGATCGCAAAGCACGCCACGCTACTGAACTTTAACCAAGATTTTAGAATTGACTCGAACAACTTAATGTTATACAAGCATGTCCCTGTGCAGTTTTTGTCCAAAATTTTCCGGATTTTAGCATGAGATCAGAAGAAAAATCAGTGGAATTTTCAGTCAGAAGTGCCGAAAATCCTCTCAGTAAAAGTATAATGTGCGAGGGGAAATTTCGCAATGGACCACTAGACAAGGTACGAATTTAAGCATTCTGATACAAGTATCTTAACCAGAATTTAACGTAGAGCACGATTCGCGCAACGAAAATTACTGGAAGCAACTCCAAACGGAGATATTAACATTTTCATTTCACATTGGTTACGAGGAATTTGAACTGCCCGCTCACAAGAAACTCAAAGCTCTACATGAGTCAAATCTTGCACTACAACGGTTTCAGCAAGCTTCTCAATCGAGCAATGTTCATTTCCCACCATGTGTTTTTCAAACTATAAGTAATTTGCTATAGCTGAGCCATAGCGTCAAGATTGAGGTTGCCAGATTTTTATATCGCAGAGACTGTTATGATAACGTTCAGCGCGCTATGTGAATCACGTAGAGCATTGAGTTTTCATGAGCGGGTGGTTTGAATTGACGATCAAGAATCATTAAATATCTTGGTAAGGGGTTGATTTCGGTAATTTTTGTTGTGCGCATCGTGTTTTACGTAAAATTTTGGTGAAGAAACGTGTGTCAGAATGCTGAAATTCGTACCTTGTCTAGTGGTCCATTAAAAAAATAGTAACGTTTTTCCNGGGGGGGGGGGGGGGTAACGATTTGACACACAACTCGTGTACCTACTTTTAACAAGTGCATGAAGTACTCGGAACTGCGCTGCGCTGAGGCACATCTTACATCGACAGGAACCGAAAATAGAATCGACGCTGTAAGTGCAAACAGTTGACCGTTCCAATTAACAAGTTCGGCGCATTCGAGGAATGAGACCAAACGGCGCAGTTGACAGAGCCTGTAAATGTCACCTGTTTCACGAATTCCACGCAAAAATTCGATTTTTCAGGCCCCGTCTGACTTCTGAACGGCAGGTTTTTTCCACTGAATGCGTCCCCGCGTTTTATTTTTAAAAAAAACTGAGTCACTCGTAGTTCGACTTTGAACTTGAACGCACAGAAAGTTCGAAAGACGCGCATTAAATGCATCAAGTGAAAAGCTGTCTCAATTTGTGGCGCAAAAATCACTATGGAAATCTTCTTCACGGTGAGTCCATTGAAAAATATGGCCGATGTAATTTAAAGTGAGAAAAAATTATCGTAAAAGTTCCCTTTATAGTTTTATGCCGTACGCACCCTCAAGTAATATTACATTCTTAACCAACAGCATCGTACTCGTGACATTTAGGGATATTTTACTAACGTAGTGTTAGAAGTATCTTTCTTTTTTTTGCTACAATAACAATTAATTAATCAACACGGAGAAAAATTTATGGTTTTATAAACCAGTTAGTGGTTCATATGGAACACCACTAGTAATGAAAATTATTAACTCATGACTCTCGGTCTGTGAATCATACTAAGGTTTCACGCACCAAACTAAGGTATCTTTACCATCACTAAGGTATATGTGCTATTATTATATTTTACCTTTACTATATAGGCCGTAGTTTTTCCCAGTGAAGAGTTCCTGGGGCACCGAAATGGCAATTTTAACCATGAGTTTTTTCAGTATTTCCCTGACGACATGCAGGTTCGTGACGGCAAAGAACGTAAAATAGTTTTTAGATTCTAACAAAAAATAGTTGACTTGGACTTTAATATCACCCAGTCCATGTCGTTTCAAACCCATAGTTGCATCGAGAATATCATCACGATCACTATTTGCAGAGAAAGTTGAATCTTTACTAGTTTTTCAAGATGCATAGCCTAATTTTTAATGACCGTGGTGCTCTATTTTTAGTGTAGCTTTTTCTTAGTTTTCATTTTTTAAATCGAACTTTTAGGGGACCCTTATATTCTCTAGTGCACTTTCAAAAATTTTGGAGCGAAATGCTGTGCCAGAGTCTTGTAGCGCCCAAAAACCCCGAGTGATATAAATGCGGAGCGGTATGTTCTCTTTTTGCGGAGTGCCATACGCTCATACGGTCCCAACTTCACTTCGCATTCATATTACTCCATCATATTACACCCCGGGTTTTTTGGGCTATTAATAGACACCGTATTTCTCTCCTAGATTTTAAACACTGCGAGTCTAAGTTTTTTTAAAAAAACGTTTACTCCAAGTAATTAAACCTTTACGACACTTCAATGTGTTAAATATACAAAACTAAAAATAAAAACAAGCGGGAAAGCTCCAACACGTTCGTATCGCAAAAGCGCTCAGCTGTTATCTGCGTAGGCGCGTTTTTAAATTTCTACAAAATTCCCTAATACTAAATCCGACCGCAGATTCCAATTTGTCGTTGACTATAATCATAATGCATGAGGAATTCTCGTTGGCAACACTGGTTTGAAGTGCGCTCGTCTGCTTGGGTCCTCGTGAGCGATCAAGTTCAAGTTGAGTCTCAACCTTGCGTCCGACGAGGGAATGACCCACGAAGGTCTGCTGCCAATAGCAACCACTTATTTTCGGCCATTCGCCTCTACTTTCATGTTCTAATCACTGGCTTCCAGTTAAATAACACCAATTTCGATAACACTCCTTGCAAAACAAGTCACCCACGCCGCGTAACCACCATAGGATATTTCCAGAGTCAAATGCAAACTCTTCTCTACACTGAGAAAAAAATCTCGGTGTATTCACTTAGAAAAGGGTAAAATTACCAAGAATTCAGGGTTCTATTTGATCCCAGTTTTTTCTTGGTAAAATTACCAATTCCATAAATGGTAATTTTACAACAATATTAATGTTTTGAACCTCCCTAGAGGTGAATCTAGCAATTTTGCAACACCAGTTTTCCTCCATTTAAACCTATGTCGAATAATCGATTTGCCGGAGCACCCTGGCCTCTCCAAGAATCGATACATTTCCATTGATCAGGGTGTTTACAAGTCCGTAATTTCTGAAAAGTCTGGAAATAGTACCGATTTTCTAAGGGTGCTCCGAAAGTACTGAAAAAGAACTGACTGTTCTTCCGGACTGTTCTTGTGGAGACTTCCACAAGAAGGTTCGGAATTTGTTTAGTTGTTCGTCCTTTTTTGCGAAATTGGAGCGAGAAATTCAAAGTTTTGAAATTTTTCGAGTTTCGTTAAATGGAGGCACCAAAAAAGTACTGAATTTTTCTGTTACGTAGGTACTGAAATTCTTGGGAATGTACTGAAAACGTACTGTATAAGTACTGATTTCTGGCCAGCCTGTTTTAGTAGACACCCTGTAGGTTTCGCTGGGGGAAAAAACAATGTTGCCAATGCCGTAATAACAATGCAAAAAATATTACGGGGGTTGCTAAGGAAAGACGCTGTTTTAGGAACGACTTTGAATGTAGTCCAGGCGCCTGGTAAGTCTACCTGGAATTTTGGGTACACAGTGATTTTTTTGGCTTACTTTATGTTTTTTGGGTCGCTGAATCCGAATCTGAAGTTTCCTACCGCGTATCTGGTGAGCATTATCCGCCATTTTGAAAATATGGCCTGAAAAGGCCTTTTTTGCGTTTTTTTTTTATATAGCGGCTACGCATGAGAAAAAGTCCGGATTTTGTTAATATTTTGAATTGCTGACATAATTTGGAAGAAAATGGTATATTAAAATGCTAGGTTTGCTCAAAAATTGAGGTGCCTCGGATCTCGGAACTTTGGAACGCTTGGGAACTTGAATGACCGCGGCGAGCCGGATCGCGCGTTGACGGGTGCGCCGCGAAAACGTGAATGGGTGCGATGTTCACGATGCTGTATCTTCCTCAATTTTTAAGCAAACCTAGCATATGTATACACCATTTTCTTCCAAATTATGTCAGCTATCCAAAACATTAACTAAATCCGGGACTTTTTCTCACGCGTAGCCGCTATATAAAAAAACCGCAAAAAAGGCCTTTTTAGGCCATTTTTTCAAAATGCCGGAAAATGTTCACCAGATACGCGGTAGGAAACTTCCGATTCGGATTCAGCTACCCACAAACCACAAAGTATGCCGAAAAAATCGCTGTGTACCCGAAATTCCAGGTAGCCTCATTTTTAGCTACCAGCGGACTGATTATTGAAAGTGATGGACAAAGCTATAGACAAAGAAGACATAGGGAGTATGGAGCGATCCTATTGGTTGAAATGGGTGGTTCCTATAGACAAAGGGAGAAAATGATAGACTAACTGTCGGGTCTCTCGTGGGTTGCCGTTAGTAAGTCTATGACGTACCTCCTTTGTCCATTGCAACCATCCGCTTCCGCCAATAAGATCTCTCCATATCGACGGTGAAACTACCAAACCACGTATCTCGGTTTGCGACGTCGCAGACTTCCTGTCATACATTATTTTTTAAATGAAAAACTACCTAACGTCTAGTCTTGAAAATTTCTGTGATTTTTCCTCTTTGTGCGGAGAAAATTCTGTGACAATTTCAAGGAATGATATTGATTTGGTCGACTTCAAAAAAATAAAATGCGAGCGTAGATTTTTAAACACCGTAAACGAGATACGTGGTTTGGTAGTTTCACCGTCGATATCTCTTTTGTCTCCTTTGTCTACAGCTTTGTCTATCAGTTTCAATAATCGGCCCGCTGGCGCCTGGACTAATGCGAATCTTTCTGTTTTTGCGCCTGGACAGGTAATCACCATTTCCTCGCTGTCGATACTCACCTGCTTCGCCTCCGACACCTCGAACGACGCGATCCCGTCTGACATCATCGAGGATCCGGCGGAAAACTCCGGCGAGGAAATCATGAAAACGGCCGAAAACGTCATTTTCCGACCGTACTTCCAACATCCCATCCACCACCACCACCACGGTGCACATCACCACAGCCACCACGGGAACCCGCACACCAACTCCCAGCCAGCCGTGGTAAGATGAGTCAAAATGGACCACTAGACTAGGTACGAATTTCAGCATTCTGATACATGTTTCTCAACCAAAATTTCACGTAAAAAACGATGCGCACAACAAAAATTACCGAAATCAACTCGTTATGAAGATATTTAATGATTCTTGATGCGTGAATTCAAACCACCCGCTCATGAACACTCAATGCTCAACGTGATTCACATCGCGCACTAAACGTTTATCATGACAGTCTCTGCGATATAAAAATCTGGCAACCTCAATCTTGACGTTTTGGCTCAGCTATAGCAAATTGCTTGTAGTTTGAACAACACATTATGGGAAATGAACATTGCTCGATAGAGAAGATTGCCGAAACCGTTGTAGTGCGCGATTTGACTCACGCAGAGCTTTGAGTTTCTTGAGAGCGGGCAGTTCAAATTCCTCGTAACCAACGTGAAATAAAAACGTTAATATCTTCGTTAGGAGTTGGTTTTAGTAATTTTCATTGCGCGAGTCGTACTCTACGTGAAATTCTGATGAAGAAACATGTATCAGAATGCTTAAATTCGTACCTTGTCTAGTGGTCCATTCTAGAACCTCAAAGTTTTGTATAAACTGAGTTATGAGCGTTTAATGTTTCCAAATTTTGTCCGACCTCCCGTATCATTCGATCGACTGTGCGACGTCCAGAGACCGAAATCCTAACCACAGATTAACTCCGAACAGTGGTATAACGTTTTTCATGAATAAATTCAATTTTTCCGCTCATGGTCGGAAGATTAATTTACGTGGGTTTAAATCGCACGCTAAACGGCACTATGACAGTCTCAGTGATACGAAGATAAGGCAACCTCAATTTTGACGCTTTGGCTCACCTATAACAAGCTGTACACTGTTTGAACAACCCTGGGTAGGAAAGAAACAAGGCAGGGTTGAGTAGTCTGCTGAAGCCGTGGTAGTGCACGATTTGACTCGCGTAGAGTACTGTTTTTCCTGTGACCGGAAAATTAAAATTGCCCGTAACCAATGGACAATAATTAAAACGTTTATATCTTTGCCATAGGAGTTGATTTCAGTAATTTTCACTGCGCGAATCGTGCTCTACCCGAAATTCTGGCAAAAAATCATGTATAAGAAAGCTTAAATTATACTCATACCTTGTGTAATGGTCCATTCAATCTAAAAAAACGAACAAAGAAAACTTTCGTAACTTTTCTCGGGAAAAATATTTCATCGGGAGAAACTCAACAACTCCCTTTTAAGCCCCATCATATTCGATGCCGTAATTATATTAACGCGAGTTCGAATAATCGCGGCAAACACAGTGCAGCCGGCTCTAAACGCATATTAGCGCCTGCGATCAGAGAATATACTTTATATATATCAGTAGAAATACTTTACGCATTGCTTGTAACAATGCGGTTTGCGTGAACGCATATTGGCGCCTACAAGAGTGTAGGAATACTTCACGCATTGCGCGCACAGCACGGTACGCGCATTGTTTAATCGTTGCAATTTCTCCAGGATCGTGGAGATTTTCCTGCTTTCTACGACTTTCCCATCATCAAATGGATAGAGTTTATCAGAAAGGAACCAAGCCACATCATGTTAATACTGAGAAAAAGAGGTCTAAAGTTGCATTTCTCCATAAGGCTCAATGTATAAAATAACTTAAACCCCTTTTTTCACTTAGTAAACATTTTTTCTGGACTTAGAATTTTGGGTAGAAGGAAAGGTACGACTAGTTGAGTTCAAAACCACTCATAACTCAATTTTTTCCAAAATGTGGGTTGGTTCCTTTCTGATGAACTCGGTCCAAATAAACCTAATTGCACCACAATTTGCCTATTTTTTTAACAACATTTCCTTTCATCCAGGTCTCGCTAGAAAACGTGAATCCAGGTAAAGACTCCACCCCGGAGAGCAACCTCGTGCGGAGAAGCTACGCTGTTGTCTATCCCAACCCACGCCCGACATGGTATGCAACCGGCAGCCCACCGAACAGCATTTACTACGGCCCGTATCCCTCGCCCAGCTCGGCTCCAAACTATCCGGCACAACCTCGCAACTGTTACTGCTATCCACAAACGTCCTACCAGAAGTCGGAGGATCGTTACAATCCGGATTATTATAATAGACTGGCCAATTATTACAATAATTATTACAAACAGTATTCGCAGAGCTAGCGTTAAAGATTGACGGCTATGTATTGCTGCCCTGTAGGCTGATTGTTGAGATTGATAGACATCGCGATAGACAAAGAAGACTTAAGGAATATGGAGCGACCCAATGGGCCACTAGACAAGGTGCGAATTTAAGCGTTCTGATACATGTTTCTTATCCAGAATTTCACGTGAAACACGATGCGCAAAACGAAAATTACCGAAACTAACTCCTTACGAAGATATTAACGTTTTGATTTCACATTGGTTACGAGGAATTTGAACTGCCCGCCCACAAGAAACTCAAAGCTCTACTTGAGTCAAGTCGCGCACTGCAACGGTTTCAACAAGCCTCTCATTCGAGCAATGTTCATTTCCTACCATGTGCTGTTCAAACTATAAGCAATTTTCCATAGCTGAGTCAAAGCGTCAAAACTGAGGCTGCCAGATTTTTATATCGCAGAGACTGATATGACATCGTTTAGCGCGCGATGTGAACCACGTGGAGCATTGAGTTTTCATGAGCGGTTGGTTTCAATTCACGAAACAGGAATCATTAAATATCTTTTTAAGGAATTAATTTCGGTGATTTTTGTTGTGCGCATCGTGTTTTACGTGAAATTTTGGTGAAGAGACATGTAACAGAATGCTGAAATTCGTACCTTGTCTAATGGTCCATTGGTTGAAATGAGTGGTTCTCATATATAAAGGGAGAAAACAGTAGACTAACTGTAGGGTCTCTCTTGGGTCGCCGTTAGTTAGTCCATTACTTACCTCCTTTGTCCATTGCAATCACCCCTTCCACCAATAGGATCCTCCATACACTTCCTGTCTTCTGTGTCTATCGGTTTATCCATCAATTTCAACAATCAGCCGGCTGTGCTAAGGGAGAACGCGGTACAAGTCATCCGTCGCTGCTAAATTTACTTCGACAGATCACGAATTTTCAGGAATACTTGGACACCGTTTAGCAGAAAGGAACCAAGCCACATCTTATATTGTGAAATTTATGTGGGCAATTTAATACTTTAACAAGAAATAGTTGTGCGGATTTGTATGCAAATTTCAGTGAATTTTCTGCAAACTGTAGAGCAAATTCCTTAACATTTTCAAAGGAATCCGCACAAACGTCCGCACGTAAAAAATTATATAGCCCAGTTAAATTTGGCAATATGTAGCTGATGTGGTCTGGTTCCTTTCTGGTAAACGTGGTCCACTTGTGCATATTACTCCTCCGATTTTACGGGGGATTTCGTTCCCGATGTGTCCGAAAGTATCAATTACCTTATTCAAAAATAAATATGTTCTGAGAGGAAATTTGGCAACATTTGTATGCTCGTACGGCATTTTTACTTCCACTACTGACTTTCCATTTTGTTGAAATGAGTGGTTCTTATAGATTAAGGGAGAGAACAATAGACTAACTGTAGGGTCTCTCATGGGTCACCGTTAGTTAGTCTATTCCTCACCTCCTTTGTCCATTGCAATCACCCCTTCCACCAATAGGATCCTCCATATCCTTTTTGTCCTCTATGTCTATCGGTTTATCTATCAATTTCAACAATCGGCCGGTTGCTTAGGGAGGATACCGCATAAACACTCGGCCGTTTGCTAAATTTGTCCACTACTTTTGTAAATACCTACCTTGTAAATTTGTCCATTGAGATTTTTATGGAATTTTGTTCGCAATAGACCATTACACATAGTACGAATTTGGATTCATTCTTTAAAATTTTATGTAGGACACGATTTGCGCAGCAAAAATTTATGACATTTGCTCGCAAATAAAATTTCGACGTTTTCATTTAGCGTTGGTTACGCAAAATTTGAATTTCTCACTCACGTGAAAAACAGAAGCTTGCATGAATCATATCGCGCATTGCATTGGTTTTTGCATGCATGTTCTCATATCGACACGGTAACGGCTAGTATGCACTTATACTCAAGTAGATAATGGACCACTAGACAAGGTACGAATTTTAGCATTCTGATACATGTTTCTCAACCAAAATTTCACGCAGAACACGATACGCACAACGAAAATTACCAAAATCAACTCCTGACGAAGATATTTAATGATTCTTGATGCGTGAATTCAAACCACCCGCTCATGAAAACTCAATGCTCTACGTGATTCACATCGCGCGCTAAATGTTTATCATGACAGTCTCTGCGATGTAAAAATCTTCAACTTCAATCTTGACACTTTGACTCAGCTATAGCAAATTACCAATAATTTGAACAAAACATGGTGGGAAATGAACATTGCTCGATTGAGAAGCTTGCTGAAACCGTTGTAGTGGGCGATTTGACTCACGTAGAGTTTTGAGTTTCTTGTGAGCGGGCAGTTCAAATTCCTCGTAACCAATGTGAAAAAAAACGTTAATATCTTCGTTAGGAGTTGGTTTCCGTAATTTTCGTTGTGTGAATCGTTTTCGACGTGAAATTCTGGTTAAGAAACATGTATCAGATCGCTTAAATTCTTACCTTGTCTAGTGGTCCATTGTTTTTCCTATGCGCAGGTAGTTTGAATTTGTATATCGAAAAACGTTGAATTTTTAGTTAGGAGTGACGTTCATTAATTTTTATCGTACAAATTCAGTTCTAAGTGAAATTTTGATAAGAAAATATAAATCGAAGTGTTGTTTTTGCACCTTTTCTTATGGTCCATTCCTCCATTTTATCTGAAAATGTGAAGAAAATATATTCATAACTTTGCACGTGAATTCATATTTTCTCGAATGCAAAATGACAAATTTTTCAATACACCTCAGGCGTTCTCCCTGCACTGAGCAAGGCAGTGGCCCTTTGCAATACCTAGTGTAGTCAGAGCTCAATAATTGACCATTTGCAATTAGTGAACGACCAATATCTTATATTAAGAACAGCATACATGCCCTCAATTTCCCTATGCAGATAGCTGATTTTAAAGAGAAGCCAGAAATAGTAGTCCCTATTTGCTTTTGGTCCAACCTATGAGTCAATCCTCCCTGGAAGTAAACGAACATTGAACAAAGCCTTGTACTGATTTTACCTCCAAGTATGGTTAGAAACAGGAGGAAACAGCGTAACAAGTACATTCTTGCTTATCTTCTTCCATCTTTGCTGAAAACCCTATAAAGTAATCCCATCCCACCTATAATAGTTACCCGACCTATGTCAGCAATTCTTTCGTTCACGATAACTATCGTTAAATTTACGTTAGCTTCTTCAAATTTTGCAATTTTGTCCATTTTGGTCTTATGAAGAACTGTATAAATTTTCGGTTAAATCGCATTTACTGTTTACTTATAAACGGTAATTAACGTAAGTGCCCTACTTACGCTGTTTTCCACTAAACTGTTTTTATGAAAGTTCCATTCCTTGGTTTCCTTGGTAACCTTTGATTGCTATCAGCTGATGTTTTATTTCAACTTATTTTTTTCTTTTTTTCATTTTTGTTCTTTCTTTTTTTAATAAATCATTGCTAGGTTAGTTCTAATTTTTTTGCCAGCATTTATTCTACCCCCCCCCCGCAGCTCATTTTTCTAGCTCCATCACCCTCTCCCTACAACTCATTTTTCTGTCGATTTTATCATTTTTTTTGTATGGCATGTCTTGCTCCCCTACCACCATTTTTTTGGGGTTATAGATATTTTAGCGGCCTCTAGACCCGTGACTCCAGTCACGGGCATTTCGCTAGTAGTCAAATAAAACTGCGAAGTATTTTATTCGATCATTTGTCATGTCGAACGGTAAATTCTCTCGTCTATGTTCATTTGGCTTTGAATCAAGATTTTCTAGAGTAATTTATTCAGAAATAAACAGCTGATCTCTGGAGCAATGTTTTTCCCCATGATTAAAAAATAAAAGGCAACCTTTATTTCAGCAAAATTTATACAATAAAATATATGGATCAGTGCAATTGATCCAGTCCGTATCATTTTCTAACTTTTTTCAATTCGCCTTCCAAACACTGTGATACAATTATCATTTCAGATGTGTTATGCAGCTTTTGAAGGTGTTTTATGTGTGACAGTTGTTCATTCCATTCGAGAATGCTGTGTTTGAAGAGAAAATAGTTAATTTTTTTAAGTTGAGGAGGGGAATTAATTTTTCAGGAGCGGAAAATTTTCAGTTGTTTGAACCTCAATGAATTTCGTGTTTCAGTGGAAACCACAAAACGATAAACCCGAGGATACTCCTGGTTCATTCTTCTGGAGCAAGGTTTACCAAGTTATTTCCTCAATTGGACTACATTTGTGGCTAGGAACTACAATCTTTAGTTCAGTTTAGAAACAACGTATGTACCATCAATTTCCCTACTCACATAAGTGTGTTTACGGATGAGCCAGAAATCGTAGTTCCTAATCGCAAAATAAAGTCCAACTATACTGCCGTGCTGAGGAAAAACGCCGTATGAGCCTTCAGGCGTTGCCATATTTCCTTTAGTAACCAACAAAGTAACTGGGAAAATTCTGAATATTTTTCTTCCAATTGTTCAAACAATTTTGTTTCCAATTTAATCTAAAATATCGGAAAATTTCAAGGAAAAATACGCATAACTTTCTTCAAAAATACATGTTTTACTCGAATAAATTTGGCAACTCTTGAATGTTCATACGGCGTTCTTCCTTAGCACGGCAGTACTGCCGTGATAGCGAAGAGAGCCGTAAGTGCAAAATTTTCGAAATCGAGTTTTCTTCGAAATTCGTCTAAACTCTTTTAGATTAAATTATACTGAGACAGCTATAACAGCAAAATTCATCCTAATTTAATGAAAACAGGACGTATGAGAAAGCCGTAAGTGCATAAAAAATGTCATAGTTTGTTTCAAGACCGCCGTAGGTGCATGAGAGCCAATGAAAACAGAGCTTTTCAGTAAAGTGCCGCCCTCTTCTGCCAATTTCTAACCTGAAAATGTGTTTGTTGTGCGTCCAAAACGCAACCATGAAAGCATGCAGAAGATAGCACTTACGGCTGTCTTGCCTAACAATAACCTAGCATGAAAATGAAAAATACCCTTTTTATGTAATGGAAATAAAAGCAGTCGATTTTTAATCATCCATACGATTTCTAGGAGTCTTCCGGACGGTTAGTGGCAATTTGACAAAGGACGGAGGCCTCTTTCAATAAAATGTCCTTGTCAGAAGCTTCTGAGCCCGTTTTCTCAAAACTTCATTTTTGCTTTTACGACTCTCTTCGCTATCACGGCAGTATACTGAGCTTAGAAAGAAAGTTCGGTGCTTTGGTAGAATGAATTTCAAACATCTATATTTCCAGAAGGAAAGGCCCTTTGTAGCCTCAATAAAAATTCATCTTTTTCTACCGGCGAGCCTTGAGACGCAACGTTGGAGCCGTAGTCCGATTCAGATCCAGCATCAGATTCAGAACCAGATCTAGATTTAGATCCAGAGTATGCATGTGGAGACTGTCCGAGGGCCGGGCTAATGGGCGACGGTGAAGGTGTATACTTGGGCGAAGGTGTGGGCGTATACTTGGGCGGCGGTGAAGGCGTATACTTGGGCGGAGGTGGCCTCTGAATTGGCAACTCGATCTTGCTCAATTTTCGTCGGAGCATGTTGTCGCAGTACAGCATGTTAATCTCAGGTTTGTACCGTCGAATCGGTGTCGGGATTCGTCGCTCGCAGACGCACACATCTCTGTCATTGCATTTCCCATCAATCTAAAACAATAATAATACCATATAATTGGAAAACAGAAGAATTAAATAATAAAGTAGAAATAATAAAGGAGCATTACCGGAGAGCTTCAGATGTGTGACCCGAATCCTCCGGTATATACCGAGGTACTTCACTATGTTGTAGCATACTGCACAATTTGGTAACACTTTATCGGCACTATGAACACTAATAATTCCTGAAGATGGGCGGCCTGCCCGAAATGGCCATTGTGCGTAAAGAATAATAAAAAAGTAAGTCATCTAAGTATAATCGGTTTTTAAAAAGCGTGAATTTCGCGCCGGGATTTTTAACAGTGTATGCATTACACTTGTTTTACTCACTTACTTATTTGTTTTACTTGTTTACACTTCACTGAAAAAAAGTAGCTTGGATCAAGCATGATGATTCTTGAATTTGCCGCCAAGAAATTGTTTTTCTTGCTTTAAGCTGACTTTTTCTTGATATAAGAAAAATAATGCTTGGGTTAAGCAAGAAAGTAGCCTATATTAACCAGAAAAATTCTTGATCTCAGAAGAAATACTTCTTGGCGGCAAATTTAAGATTCTCTTTTTTCCAGTGTTGTTCACTTGAAATCATTGATATCTCAATTCTTCTAAAACTGCGCTTATGCGCCTTGTTCTCCAAGCGCCTTAAATGAACAAAAAGGAACCCTCAAAATTGGCACTGACCAGATGGGAGCAGTACACGAGAGGGTAGGGCACCGAGGTCGGTACAAACATCTCCACGGCAACTCCCAGGAATTGGCAGTAGATTCTGCAGTTTTTGTCGATCCGATATTTCTCGTTCCATTTGTCCTCTTTCTTAACGTATCTCTTGAAGGTGCAAGGGTCAAGCAGTTTGTTGACCATGAGTTTGCTGATGGCTTTTAGCTCGGAAGCTATTGGAATACTGCGGGGTGTCGATGTTGATGTTTCACGACGCGGACTGGAGGCCCAACCGACTTTTTTCCACAAGGGACTTTTCGTTAAATAACTTGGCAGCCTTTTCATCGCGAACTGAAAAAATAATGAGTAATACGAATTAGGTAAGTATTACAGTTGGAAGCATTTGTAATTGTAAGTGATTGTACAATGTAGGTATTAGAAAATAGTATTACCATCGCAACTTAGCTGATTTTGGCGGCAGCCATAAGAGTAGTTGCACAAGCTAAAAGTGTGAAAGCACCATCCGGCGGTATAGTAAATCCAACCACACTCATGCTGACTTTGATAATCGCATTTTGTCACCATAAGTTATTTTCTACTAACGTTTCAAAGTCTCTCTGAGATTCTCCAGTTTTTTCTCCGTTTTAGAAAGTCTCTAAAAAGTTTATTGTTTCAATAGGTAAACAAAACATGAACATTTGACTTTTAATAAACGCATTTTGTCACCAATACTTATTTCCTTAAACGTTTCAAAGTATAATTAGAGATATTCCAGTTTTTAGAGAAACCTCTCCAAAAGTTCACGGAAAAAATGTGGTAGGGGTTAAGTCCCAACTGTTAGATGATATGGACATTCCCAATTAATTATGGTAGTATCCCGATTAATTGTGGTAGTATTCCAATAAATTAGGTTACCAACCCAAATGTCGCGGTACTACCCCAACTCGAGTTGTGGTGCTACCAAAATTAATTGGAAATGTCCATATCATCCAACCAATTTGGGTAGTAGAACACTTTTGGGGGATAACCCCTGACACTTCACTGGAAAAAAACCACATTGGATCTAGAGTCTAGACTCTTGAAAACATTGACAAGAAAAAGGACTCTTGATTCAATCAGATTTAAGCTTAAATCAAAAGGAAATCCGCTCAAATTAAGAGGCTTGGTTCTTGATTTAAGCTTAAATCTGATTGCATTAGGAATATTTTTTCTTGTCGATGTTTTAAAGAGTCTGGACTCTAGATCCAATGTGTTTTTTTCCAGTGTTGTTTTCCGTGATTCCTTTTACTTTTGACGATTCTAAATAGCAAATTTTAAGCATCGTCGTCCTTTTAGGGTGGGGTCACATACTTTCTTGACTCTGGCCTGAGGACTGTGGTGCTTGTGATGGACACCGTTGATCCACTCGAGCGCGCCTTGCAAAACCTGCAAGGTGGTGTCAATGATGTGCCGGCTTTTATCGATGACGCACTCGCCAACATTATTACATTTGACGTAGTCCAGGAGATCCTTGATGTCCTCCTCTTGGTCCGGGAGACACCCGTTGCTCCTACAGACCTGGATGACTCGTTCGACCTCCTTATCCCGAGTGGAGGTCTGGAAGTTCGGCCAATGCGGGTGGCGCGGCGGGAAGCCCACGGACATGAAGAGGGGCAGCATCGGGTACTCCACCTCGTCCAGCCACAGGGGCGTCTCCGTCAACGGTCTGTAGGCGCTGAAGAACGTCGCAGAGTTGCATGCATGCGCTTCCTCCGTCCGGTTCAACGACTTGCACCAGATGACGGCCTGAGAAGCAAAACCAGAAACTATTGGCCTGGTTACACGCTAAAATTTCCGTCAAATTCCGATCAAAATGATGACCAAGATGGCGGTCGAGAGTTATCTAGATTATTTCCGCATTCTCCGGGTGGAGCAATGAACAAAGAAAGAAATCAGCAATCAGAAAGGCAACAAAAGGGAGGGGGAAAATGCACGAAAGAAGCACAAAAAGGCACTAGAAGCTGAAGCCAAAAGCGTGGTCTTACCTTAGCACAGTTTTAGAGTTGGAGGTACAGCATGCCTACTGGATGTGAAAGGCTGCTACTCGAGGGCATGCGTGGTGCAAAAAAGGCGAGGTTGCTCAGTCCCAAACTTTAGCCCTCCATGATTCAGGGAAAAGGAGGGAAAGGAATATTGAAGGAAGGAAAGCACGAGGGGAGAGAGTAGCGAGGAACAAGGGGGAAAAGGCGAATAACTAAACTAAAAGGCGGCTACAAAATGCTAAAAAAACTACATAGCAAAAGCAAGTCTTACGTAGGTAACAAACGAAGACGGTAACGTGACGCACCGGAGTTAACGACAAGAATGAGAAAAGGTGCGATGTCCGCTCGCGAGAGCCGGGTTTTCTGGGCCTGGTTGCCGGTTTCTCGGTAACGAGGATTTTCCCTTTCGCCGTGACGTAATCGCGTGGAATACGCTGCTATTCGGCGTATTCATAAATTGATGAGTAAAATTAATTAAAACAGCGTGTTAATTGAAATAAGCATGAAATAAGCACGGTTGTGTGGCAATCAGATGAATGATGAGCCCCACAGCTCCATCATCCATACCATCAAATTTTTGCAGGCCGCAGAAATTTGATGGTAGATGGTGCGCACCAGTCACCATTTGATCGGAAATTGATGGAAGTTCGAGCGTGTAACCAGCACTAAAGGAAATGAAGACTCTCTGGTTTATTCACGCAATCTTGAAGAGGGAGATGTACACGGATGAGTCCAGATTCCGTCCGCAAGACTCCGAATGGACCACTAGACATGTTCGATGTTAAGCATTCTGATACATGTTTCTTAATCAAAGTTTTACGTAAAATACAGTTTGTGCAACGAAAATTACTGAAATTACCTCCTTACCAATATATTTAATGATTCTTGACGTGTGAATTCAAACCTCCCGCTCATGAAAACTCAATAGTCTACGCGAGTCAAATCGCACGCTAAGAATTACCATGACACTATGCGATACAAAAATCTGGCAACCCCAATCTTGACGCTTTGGCTCAGCTGTAGCAAGTTTTTATAGTTTGAACAACACAGGGTGGAAATGAACAGTGCTGGATTGAGAAGCCTGCCGAAACCGTTGTAGTACGCGATTGGACTCACGTGGAGTATTGAGTTTCGTGTGATCGGGCAATTCAAATTTCCCGCAACAAAGGTTAAATAAAAACGTTAATATCTTAGGTAGGACATGATTTCGGTAATTTTTGATGCAAGAATCGTGTTTTACATGAAACTCTGGTTAGGAAACATGTATCAGAATCCTTACATTCGTACCTTGTCTAGTGGTCCATTGCGTCCGGCAAGACTCTCCGAACTGTGTCTCAGATCGCGTCCATGTAATTCTTAAGGAAAAGGTGTAAATAAATGACAACGTTGCTTACCTTTTTCTCATGTTGATACCAATGTCCGGAAAGTAGAACAACAAAATGAATAGGAATAGAGCGGTGGGTGGTAGGATACATCTGGCAATTGGTAACTACGATTTCTGTCATTAGTTCCCCGATGAACATAAATGCTCGCACAGAGGAGCCACAAATTGTAGTTCCTAATTTCAAATATAGTCGAACTGTTGTGCGGAATCTTTTAAAAATGTCAGGGAATCTGCCTCAAGTCGTTATGAAAATCCCCTAAAATTTTCAAAAGAATCTACACTCCCGTTCCCTGAAGAAAATAAGTAATCTGATAAAATTTGGCAAAAGCTGATGTGAGTTGCCACCTTTTTATTAACACCTTATGCCACCTTATTATATAGTTTTGATCATAAACATACGATTGTCAGGAAATATTCAGAACATCTTTATCAGCAATATCATCGTTACGTCTGACGCAAAATCCCGACTTTTCTAAGGGCAACATCTCGATCAATATTGATTTTAGAAAGTTGCTGTTCGAACGGATCTTATTAATCTTAGCTAATCTGCAAGAATCAAACATCAAAACACGAATCTATGATCAGCGCATCTACCTCTTTGTCAATTGATCGGTCGCAGTGGCGAAGCGTTAAAGATGGATTATCGATATTTCCACATTCGAAGCTATGGTAAAGAATCGATTATTGAGGTGTTCGTTGCGAACACCCTGTTATCGATCCTTTTCCATAGGTTTAAATGACAGAACAGTCGATCCATCGCAAAGCACGCCACGCCACCGGTCGATCGACCATTGTACCGTTTTCGGGAGTGCTAAAACTCCACTTTAAGAGCTATCTACGTATCAAATATGTAAGGGCTGCCTTACCGTACCGTCCATATGTGCATTTCTGCACCTGTATAATCGGGCAGGCGCGTCAGAAACAAAAACTTCTCCGTTTCTTCTGATATAATCGCGATCCAATTGTTTATCCTCCAGAATGTCGAGGTAGTAGTATTTTCTAGCGCTGGCTTCACCCAGAAGATCAAACCATGAGGTGACGGCTAATATTACGCCCAAAATCATCTAGCCTACATAAAAGCGGATCTCATTATTGCCGTGCTCAGACAGAACGCCGTATGAGCCTTCAGGTGTTGACGAATTTACTTTGATGAACCGCGAATTTTCTGGGAAATCTGTGCATGTTTCACCCAGGGCCGGATTAAGGGGGTGGCCACATGGGCCGCGGCAAATTTAGGGGGCGACAAATTTTGAAAATTTTTTTAAACATAGATTTAAAAAAAATGGGATTCAGAAAAAAAATGATCAATGAGAAAGGGGGACGAAATTTCTCTTTCCTGAGAGTATATAGTAATTTCTAATTTTGTCGTTTTCCGGTGATACAGGAAATAGCAACCTTAATTGGACGTATTTCTATCAAACGGAACTAAGCGCCAATTCGAGTTCCTTCTAAGGAATTTAGAATCCCGGATAGCGCGTTCTGTCAAACGGACCTAAGCGCCATGGAAAAGCATTGCGAGTATAGGACGGAATAAGCCGGACGCCCGCTTCTGCCGCCAATCCAAGCCCCCCTCTACCTTCCTCACCCTATGGCGCTTAGGTCCGTTTGATAGAAATACGTCCAATTAGTAGAAAATTAGGAAAATTAGTAGAAATGCAATTAGGCCTGGAGCTCAACGCAGAGCGGAATGATAACGAGGACGTGAGATGAAAAAGACAAACCCTCGGCGCAGCGATCGGCATGTAACACATGTTAGCGCCTTCAAGACTGCATGAATACTTCACGCATTGCGGCAAAAACAGTACGGTTTGGAGCGGTTGGCGTGAAACGTATGTATAGCGCCTACAAGACTGCAGGAATACTTCACGCATTGCGCCGATAACAGTGCGATCAGCGCGGTGCAGCGGCGGAAGTTAAAATTATTAAACCGCATTTATGTTTGTTCTTTCATAATTTTTTGGTTCATTTCTTATGAACGGAGGACCTTGTCCACATAGAGACAGGTTTACGGAACTAACTTTCGAGCAAAGTTCCGTGAAATTTTGCTAGTAGTGCTGACAGGGCTTTCGCAAAAAATGTATCCAACACGAGTAGGTAAACGCGTCTTATGCACCCCTTCCCCTCCGGCACGTTCACTTGATGGTTTTTATTGATGTTTCAAAACGAATGAGAAGGGGACGGTAAGAAGGTGAATCCGGCCCTGGTTTCACCTTCAATTGGACTGCATTTTGCAATTTGGAGCTATAAATTCTAACCCGGTTTAAAAACAAAGTATGTGCCATTAGTTTCCCTATGCACATAAGTGGTTTTTCAGATGAGCCAGAATTTATAGTTCCAAATTGCAAAATGCAGTCCAATTTTTCGGAGGATTTTATCCGCAATCGGATCCAAATTATCTGATAATTCCAAGAGAAAATATGCATGACTTTTCTGAAGATTATATATTTTATCAGAGGAAATTTGGCAACTCTCGAATGTCCATACGGCGTTTTTCCTTGGCACGGCAGATTAGAAATTGAATGGAATCAAGGAGAGACAAGACTGTTAATAGAAGAATTTCGGTTCGGAAGGAGTCCATTTTCTAGTATTTCTTAATGTTGTAATCAAATGTCTAATTATGAGTAAATGTCTCGCCATTGTAGTGAACAATGTCATAATTGTTCAAATATTGATACTCTGTGAAACAGAGTTGGAGATACTGCAGTTTAATTAGGTTCAATTCATATTTCTATATTCGGATTATTCCAAAATATTCGCCTCATCACATACAATTATTTACCATGTGTCGCTCTTGCCTCAAGAGAGTTTTGTGGTACCTTTTTAATTTGCCTTTCATTTTTGACGTAGGCCAAGTACATCCTCTGTTTAGGAGTAGCTATATCTATTTGGAGATTTGTATCTTGTTATGTCCTTCGTCTTCTTCCGGCCGAAGTATCACAATCGCCACGTGACGTTTCAAACTTTCCACCGCCATTTTATTTTTTTACAGAGAAATCGTTCAACGAAGCCGTCCGAAAATTTCACTGAATTTTCTATGTGCTTCCAATACAATTTACTGAAGTTTTCAAACAGATTGAACCATTTCTGTGTAAACAAATTAAATAACTGCGAAAATTCTGAAACGTTGCATGGCGCTTGTGATACTTTGTCCGGAGAGTGATAAGATATGTATTGCTTTGCGATAAATTGTGTCAATCTATAACCGGTAAATGTTAATATTTACTCCATCAATCTATTTACATAATTGAATACGAACAAACTATATCGTAAAACTATTATTATACGACTCACTCCCATTACTTTGGGTATGTAACGCTTACATAGCTTACACGCCAAAAAGCACGTGCCTGGAGATCATTTAGACAATTTAAGGTTTCATTTTAAGGAACAAAATTGTGGTAATCCAAATTTCAAAACTTACTTGTTTACAATTACCTTTTGCACTGCGCATTTAATGTATAGAAGACCTGAAACCGACATCTAATCAAACACTAATACGATAGTTTTCATTCTCCGCGGTGAATGGACCCAGAGCAGAAGTGTCACTAATAATAAAAAATCGCAGTTTGTTCGGAAAGACTCGTAAAGACACGTATTTTTGTGTATTAGCGAGGGATGCATACATTTATTAGTTTAGGATGAATCAAATATTTTTAACCGACAAACCAAGTAGGAAACATCATTCAAACACCAACAACCAAGAAATTCGTAGTAGAGATCGGGAACTTTAATTTGTATTAATAAATTAATGGTCACTCACCCTGCTCCCAGGTAGATTATCGAGGTAGATGATCGTGCTTCATCCGTATTCTTCGGTAACACGAGGGAAAATATGGTAGCACTACGAAAAGCCGAAAAAGCACTGTATGAAGGTTAGAGACACCTCTATTTTAGTGTTACAAACAAAGAATTGTCAACAAAAAAAAAATAAATAAATAAAAAAACTTGCGCAGAACACCCACTCATATTCAACGCAGAGCTAGCTCGTTCACCTTAAGCTACACAGTGTTCATGGGTCTTTTAAAAAAACTCGAATGAATGCTTTTAACCACACGCCACGTCAACATCACCTTGATTCCAGATAATTTGTCTTACTTCAGTACTCGCACATCACTTTTTTTAAATTTTTAGTTTTCCAAAAAAAGAAGAAAAGAAAAAAAGTTCTCGAAACGTGACGCATGAAAAGCTATTCACAAAAAATGCCCTTGAAAGTTACAGTGCTGGAAAAATTGTGCGGCGTTGGCATTGTACGTACTTCTCGGCAGACTTTTTAGCAGCTTTACCCTGTGGAATTTCCTTTTTTTTGGGTTTTCTTTTAGTATACAAAATCATGCCGTATCTTCACTCATTTACACGGGAATAAAATTGTCATCGGTGTTCGTTTAATTTGCTCAAAATTACTTGAAAAACTGTATAGGTGTTCGTTCAATTTGCTACAAAACAGTGGCGTGGCAGTGGTAATTGCGATATATCGATTAATATGCCATTTAAAACTATGGAAAAGGATCGATAAACAGGGTGTTCGCAGCGAACACCTTAATAATCGATTCTTTATCATAGGTTTAAATGGCATACATCGCAATTCACGCCACGCCACTGCTACAAATTACTGAAAAAATTACACAATCCCAGCAATTTGGCAAAGCTTTTACGAACTTGTTGCAAAGAACATTTTTTGTTACTTTATGAACTGCGTACAAGTACAAAGTACATTCGTAACTTAGCAGTCACGAAAAGTCCTCAACACCCAACTCGAGAGGTGATTATTTGAGATTTTTTACGGTTGATGAGTGTTTTCTGACGGCTGCGTCAGTGCCAGCATCATTAGTGAGTTGCATGGCAGGTACCGAAATGCCATGGCTCATCGTGAGTGCGCCTGCGTTGTATTTTTGGAGCAGTCCAAGTACCGAAGTTTTTCCGATCTTCCGGGCATAGCTCTCGTCGCTAGCGTGAATATACGAGTTTGTCATCGACGATAAAATATTCGTAATCTCTTATTTCACTCTCCAATGCGCGCTGGTACTATCATGGTACTTAAATTAAATTCAATTTCGGAAATTAACCCTTTCTTGCGTGAGTTCTGTTAATCGTTGATTTTGGAGAGAAAATCTGTAATTGTACAGTATTTTTTCGACAATAGAGTCAGTTGGAATTAATCTTTGTAGTTTTTTTGTTTTGTTTTTTTTTTTTTTTTATTTAATTAGGATATCAGACTGATAATGCCCCCAAAAAATCATTTCTTGCTTTGTTTCAATTAAACACTCCAGCATAGAAATTCAGCTGAAAACCATTTGTTGCTTTCATTCAACGCTATGCAATAAAGGGTTAAAAATAAGGGTTGGTCATCAATGATAAAATGCTTGTCATCAATTATATCACTCTTCGTTGCGCGCTGGTACTATCATGATAGTTAAATTAAGTTCAATTTCCGAAATTATAACTGGTACTTGGTAGCGGATAAATTATTATTAAAAATAAAGGGAAAGCACAGAGGGTGATGTTGGTTTCCCAAAAAATACCATCGGTTACCTTCAAAGATCGTCGGCCCGGCGTTTTCTGAAAGGCAACAGTCAACAACTGCACCGATGCACCAGTTCGTTGGTTGTAGTTAGAACGTGGGCTGGACGCTACATTCAACGGCGATGAGCAATGGAGATGTTACATGTGTGAGGAATTTGCGATTTGACTGTTGATTCTAATGTAAAAGTTCGCGAGAAACACTATGGTCCCACTGGTTTTCTCTGAAATCAACTCTCAAGCTCAAAAAAAGCTCTCAACTTGAGGCCAAAATGGAGGGGATATCCCACGCTATCCTGAGAGTCCACCATTACCTCAAGGCAAACTCACCATGCAAAGATAGGGAGAAAATACATTGACAGGGCTGCCACTTTATTTGGGAACTCTAAAACTGAAAACACGGCAACCCTGCTAATGTTTTTTCTATCTATCTTGGAGCGCCTTCAATTTTGTTTGATACTGTGCAACACCTCTGATGTGAAATAGTTGCTTCATGCGCCGCGACTCGCCTCGACCAGCACGAAACGCGCGATGGTGCCTACAAACCTAAATGGATACTGCAAGTATTGCACAATGCGTGAAGTATCCTCTTAGGTTTGTAGGCGCCAGTGCGCGTTTTGCGCTGGCAGTATGCTGCTCCACTCTGCGTTGAGCTTTAATAATTAACTCGTAGAATCAGCGTTTTTCAACTCATGTTTTTGAAATGTTTGCACACTCTGCATGGAATATTCTCATTGAAATTGATAAACAAAAATAGGTTTTAAAGGAAAATATGATATGTATTTTGTAAATATTAAGGTGGTTCCGTATCAACTTTATGATTTCCAAAGCACATTAATTTTTTTATTTTATACCTATTTCCTGCTTTTAATTTACTAATATACTACCAGGTATATTGATTGATCTGCCGTTTAAACCTATGGAAAAGTATCGGTAAAACTGGTGTTCAGAACGAATACCCGAAAAATCGATTCTTTACCACACCTTTGAATGAGGAAATATCGATCATCGATTATTCGCGCATCGCCACTCCTCATCGGCAGTGACCAGCCAGCGCCACTAATAAGTCTGACATGCTGATAGTAAGGGCACGAGTTATAGCGCGTTCTAACAACCCCTTCGACTTCGTAGCTATGTTCCGTAGCAACGGTGCCGAATTTTTCTGAAAAACCACCATACACTAATTTTGCTATCACAATGGAGATGTTGCATGTGTGAGGAATTTGCGGTTTGACTGTTGATTCTTTTGTAAAAGTCCGCGAGAAACACGAAGGTGCCACTGGTTCTCTCTGAAATCAACTCCCAAGCTCAAAAAAAATCTCTCCAGTTGAGGCCAAAATGGAGGGGATATCCCACGCTATCCTGAGAGTCCACCTCTACATCAAGACAGACTCTCCATGCGAAGATAGGAAGCAAATACATTAGCAGTGATGCCACTTTATTTGGGGACTCCAAAACTGAGAAACGGCAACCCTGCTTATGGATTTGCTCACTATCTTTGAATGGAGAGTTTGTCTTGATGTAGAGGTGGACTCTCAGGATAGCGTGGGATATCCCCTCCATTTTGGCCTCAACTTTGAGAGCTTTTTTTGAGCTTGGGAGATGATTTCAGAGAAAATCAGTGGCACCATCGTGCTTCTCGCGAACTTTTTCACAAGAATCAACAGTCAAATCGCAAATTCCTCACACATGCAAAATCTCTATTTTCTGCGTTAAAAAATAACTTGCGATCGGTTGATATCCGTGCAAGCGACTGGAGGTCTTGAAATAATTTTGCATTTTTTGAATTTGTTGCTGTCAGTAGGCTTCGCGCTCTAGGAAGGTGTAATTAAAGAGGATATTACTTTTTTACCGGCTATTCCTGAGCACGAAGATTAAGTGTTTATAAACGCATTAATCCACTCAGCGAGTCTCGCTTAGTTCGTAGTTCCCCGCTGTTGACTCGACCGAGTCACGTTTTGTGCACCTAATTTTACGTGTGAACTATAAAATACTGCTTTACTTGAAGAGCTACCAAAAATTCAGGTGAATCACAAGTCCAAAAAATCTAAGAATCAGATAATTATTACTACCGTAAGCTCCCCAACCGGTTAAAGTTTTCATCTATTTTCACGGTTCGTTTGATCGTTGTCCTGGTGCTGGACCGATATCCACGGTTTTTTGGTTATCAACAGGTGTAAGTCCTTTGATGAGTTCTCTTTGTGCAGATTTCTAAATAATGACCCAAATGACTCCGCACCGATCCCACTCGGCTGAAAAAGAGGTAACGTGTGCAATATGACTTCTGGAAACTCTGAATTAGACACGATATGATGAAATGCTTGGTTTTTTTCTGCCTGGCCTTGATGTTCATTTCCATGATCGTCCTTGACATCCATGCGTGGGAGGACTACCCGTTATGCAATCATAGGGGGCATCGCTGCGGAGTGAACATACCCTACAAGATCCCGGGCTGGGAAACGAACGTCCGCAAGCAGAATTGTTGCCACCCTCTTTGGTGCGACGAAAACCTTCACATTTGCAGGGACGGCTAGGGGTGCTGTCTGCATACTGTACCACAACGTTTTTTTTCAAATAAAATTGTTTTTGTTTGACACAAAAGAATTATTTTGATTTGCGAAGATTTTCTTTAAATCAAAAATAGTTTTTACAAACGTAAAAAAAAAAAATTTTAAGCAATTTGTATTGAACTGAAGTAAAATAATAGGCTTGTATCGGTTCAGAGACTGGAGCATTGATACCAATAAGTTATACTCCGAAATTATGCAAAATTAATGTCCAGCAAAAAATGGGAGTCTTGTCTGCAAGGACTGTATTTTGTGATAAAAAGTTTCTCTCAAATAATATTTATATTTTTACCTGGGAAAATTATTTTGAATCGCAAAGATTTACTTTAAATAAAAAACAGTTTTAAGATAAATATATTGAGAAAACAATTATATCGTTTTTTGCAGTGGACTGTTTTAGCTGCTAGGTGAAACAAAAGGTATTTATCAATTGCCGAACTGGAAATGTTGATACTAATTTGCGTGTTCTCTTTGCCCTTTCAAGGATACACTCTGAGATCATGCAAAATTAATGCCTAGCCAAACATGAAATAATGTCCAAAATTTCAAGAGAAGGTCCCATTTGGACATAATTATATATTCTGAACAGGACGATGAATTAAATCAAAAGAAAATATGTGCATCAGACTTTCTGTGTTACACAGTTCTCTTTCACTTTGATTCATTTGCTCATAGTCTCTGTCAGCACATAAACGCGCGATTGGAATTGCGTGATTTTAAATGTCCCCCTATTTTTTCTCCGTCTACAGCCTTTAGTCTGCCATTTTTGCATGTTTTCGAGGAAAATTCAGGTTTTTTTGACATTGCCACTGACAGGTCTATTTTTTAAAAAAAAAAAATAAACGGTGAGACCTTGACAATTCGAAGCTTCGCGATCCTTGATTCGTGTCTTTCTAGCGTCATCATGCATACGCGTCGCTATGTCCGTCTGTCTCTGAAAATATCATAGCCTCCTACCAAGGATAAAATGGAGGCCCGCATGCCACCGGGATTAACAGTTTCAGAATTTTTCCCTTCTACACCTCGCGAGAAACATGATTATGCCACATTTTTTTTCTGAAACCAACTCCCGCAAGCTCAAAAAAAAAACTCTTAAAGTTTAAGCCGTAATAGAAAATGCTCTCTCACGGGGCACTGTGAGTCCATCTCTGCACCGAATGAAACTCTCCTTGCAGAAACAGGGAACGTATACATTACACGGAGAAAAATAACTACGACGATGTGATCCGAACTGCCAACTTGTGATCTGAAAACTTTAGGCGATATGGATCTCAGAATTGTGTAGTGTATCTCTGAATTAGCCCCTTGGGAAATTGCCTGAACATACACTATGTTACAACCCTACAACAGTCAGAATTTTGAAACCAATCATCCGTAGAAATCGCAGGGGACATTAAAATGTCCATAATTCTTTGAAGTAAAATGTATAATGCCCACGTCATGTCCTTCAGGTGCTTTGTCGCCAATAATCAAACCAAAATACTTCGTGAATATAATCATTTCCGAAGCTGACATGGAAATTTTTATTTTACCCTCATCTAAACTAATTGAAGGAGGTTTTGAATCTTTGTCGATTGAACCGTAGTGAAATAACTCAATTCTACTATTCAGCGTATTTAATTCAAAACATTTTTCCTCTAACAAATGCCTTATTATAACCTCAAATGAGAACACACAACATTCTTCAAGGATATCATGGATAATGTCAAATCCCCCCGATTTATTACAGTGAAATGATGGAACTTCATTAAAACAGCAAAGCTCACTAATACCAGTTTTTGACTAGTCTTTAATTGCTAGGTCTTCATTGTTGTTTTGACGGTTTCTCCAAAGCTATAAATTGTCGACACACTGCTGTCTCATAGGACATTCCGTCAACGATTTTTTGTCCGGGCTCCTGTTTAGTCCAATAATTTACGTCCACACGTTAAATAAGAAACAGTGACTTGTTCCGAAGGTTATATTTCAGTCCGTATGTAAAATTATATTGACAATGTGGAATTAGAAAATTAAGAGAAAAGAAGGTGTTGTTACGGTAACCCCTTTTTGTAAATAAAATGTTACTTTCTTCTTTTGATTCATCTTTCAAATTGGATGATATTTTGCAAAAAGGAACCACTAGCAATAATGCGGGTTTTCAGGAGAGCAGGTTTTGCAAAAACCATTGGCGTTTTTCAGAGGAAGGATCAATTTCGATCTTTGATGTTTTATTTTATAGGTATTAAGATTCTTTAACATAGTGTGTTGACAGATTTCTTCAAAACTTTGTGCTTTTACCAAAAAATGACAAAAAAGGAACCACAATTCTTTTGCAGCATTGACGGCTTTAGAGGAGACGACCTTTTTGGTACTGTTGAGAACTGGAAAGATAACCACACGAAATAAAATCCTACCTCCCGCCCCCATCGTGCCCTGAGTGGACCATATTTCCCACTAAATCACCAAGATATTATTATTGGATACTTAAAATTCCTTCATTTCGTTGGATATGCAATTTGATCTCCTGAGAGTTAAAATAGTTGCTCAAGGTCGAAACAAAAGTCCAGTCTAGCAACGGCGCTCCCAACTATTCTGTTTAGCACCATGCTTTAAGGCCCTAACTTTCAACTTTTCGTGGTGACATGAGTGGTTTTCCAATTCGGCGCCGAAAAATATCCTCATTTTCGTGGGAATCCTTATTATTAACAAACATTTGTCCGTACACGACACGTCCGTTGAAGGCTCGTCCACTCAGGGCACGAAAGCTGGCAAGAAGAATAATTTCACCACCTTATTAGTGTGGCCATTTGCACTATAGGTCATTGGGGACGAAAACTTTCAATCAGACTTTAAAAGTAAGCGTCACCAAAGAGGCATTTTCCTTGGCATCCTCCCTATCCGTTGTCATAATTTCCCGAGCCTCCGAAGCTAAGGAAATATGAAGATTGTGCTTTGCTGTGATTTCATCAAGTTCTGGTTTGTTTAGAGCTCCCTTTTTAGCACACTCGAAACTATCACAAGTGCCACAAGTATCTTTTTGCAGAGGCTTTCTGCGCAAATTAAAATTAGTATGATAAATTAACCTGACAGCACTGAAAGAGACAGGATCACTATATTTTTCGACATACATATCATAAAGTTTTTGAAGCGGCATATCATGTGGTAAAAATAGACTCTCTGTTTCTTTTCTACAGTAATGAGACCGGTACTTCGGAATTTTATTGATATGATCCTTGACCTCCTTTATTTTTGATTCACTTAATTTATTGTGGCCACCACTTCTACCCCTTTTGTCCACAATATCATTGCCTCTTAATTTCTTAGGGCACTATTGATTCGTTTTGTGGACACTCTCAGAGTTTGACAAAAAAATGGCCGACAAACTTCAATATCATTGAAAAAGTTCTTCCTGCTAAAACTTCTTTTAGACCCCTCTACTTTCTTAATGGCCCGTGTCTCTTTGATATAGGTTCCTAGAATGGCAGTTTGAGTATCGAAATTGCCACTTCCTCTAAATCGTTCGTAGTGCCTTTCCCTCTCTGAGATTGACATCTTATCATGGCACACTCGATGGCAATTACATACGTAGTCCCGGGAGTCTTTCCTCTCAATGATCTTCCCTTGGCTATCTTCATACGATTCATACAATTTTTTCTTTTTCTTCCTCTCCTCTCCAGTCATTCGGAACTTTCGTTTCCTGCCTTTCTTGGGCCTACCAACAGCATTAAAAATATGAGATGAGGGAGCTGGGTCATTGCTGCAGCTGCGCATCTCCAATACAGGAGAGGGGACTTCGCATTCACCTACAATCTCTACAATTACATCATCAAGGTTATTTATACTTAAATCACCAGACATTGCACATATATTTTCAGTGGTAGACACATTAGATGGCACCTCGGGAGCAAAGTCACATAGACCTATTATTTCTACACTTTGAGGAAAAGAGTTGCTGACGTTCGAAGTAATTGGAACAAAATCACTGCCTGGTAAAGTTGAAGTGGCAGAGACTGAGGGAACATTCGTAATTGCCTGTGCCATATTACCGAGAACATTTGAAAACTTGTCGGTGGCAGACACATTGGAAGGCACCTCCGAAGCTACGTCACTTAGACCTATTATTTCTACACTCTGAGGAAAAGAGTTGCTCACATTCGAAGTAATTGGAACAAAATCACTGCCTGGTAAAGTTGAAGTGGCAGAGCCTGAGGAATCATTCGTAATTGCCTGTGCCATATTACCGAGAAAATCTGAAAAAACTTCAGTCATACTTCTCATTTTCGTTATTACCTGTTGGGTTAGGCAAGTTTAAAATGAATATTAAACTCCTGATAGTCGCCCTGTGTTTCGTCGTTTGGAGAAGATAGTGATAAGACTTGTGTTTGTAAACAAAATGAAAGCCTATAATTTTGAAGAAATCTTAATGCTATGGTGTGCGATTCGACCAATCGTAAGACAACCGATTGGCGGTCTTATTAGAAGTTTGCGTGATCCAGCTAGGCAAGTTGTATCAGAATATTAAAACTTGTAATAAAAACACTTACTTTTTAAGGAATCCGTGAAATCATAATTTATTGACCAACATCCGTGGAGTACAAACATAATAAAAACTTCTCACTCATCACTATTCGAATTTCTAGATCGTTGGAGTCTTCCGCGTCGTTTAGTAGTTCAAAGGTTAGCCGCGCGCCGTGCCTCGCCGAGCGCTGCAGTCGCTCCTCTTGGTTCCTTTTTGCGAAATGAAAATTTCCGATATTGCGTTCAGCAAAAGTGATCCAACTTGTGGTACCTTTTTGCAAAATGCATTCGGCCTGATCTACGAAATTCCAATTTTCGCGGTGCGATTAAAAGGTTTTCAAAAGTGTTTAGGAGGGTTTGATTTTTGTCATTAGTTAGTATATACTCTCCTGATACGAAATACGTCATATACCGGAGAAATAACCGAAAAAAAATTAAAAAGCTTTGGAAATCATTAAATTAGACACGGAACCACTTTAATATTTTCAAAATACACGTTACATTTTCCTTTAATACATATTTTTTTTTCGTCGATTG